ATCATTTATTTTGGCTGTTTATAATTCCACTTGATTTGACAGTGTTATTAGCAGCTGATACTAACCTGATGACAAAAGTAATGATGGATCAGCCTTCCACACCAAGCTCGATGTTCCCTAAGCTTTCTTATGGTTTTATGTGCAATACACTGTCAAAAGCAGGCAGCTCTTTAACCTGACAATAGAAAAGTTTCTTTCTGGTCTGTTGTCAGTAGACTTATCAGAATTGTTATCAAATCTATCTTACTCAAACAAATACAATTTGTTAGCCAATTGATAATGTGACGATCTCTTATTTTAGTCACCTTGACACAAATGACTTTGTTACATTAATGCAGTTTAACCAAATACATCCTATACAAAAGGCTATTGGGTATAATGAAGCCAAAACAAGTCCTTTCAGAGTTTTGGATACTGTGACACAGGAAGGTTTAGCACTCATACAAGCGCCAATCCACACAGGGTGACAATGGTGGTAGCAGAGGAAAGACAGTTGCTGATGTTTGAATAATGTTGGGAAAAGAGCCAGTGAGCTTGGAAAAAATTGACCCTTTACTTTCTCCATGGCAGAGGTTACTCTTAAATAATAAGCTGATGCCGCAAATTGAAACAAAGGACAAGTGCTCATTGAAATGATAAAACACAACAACATATCTTCATGCAGGACGGTTGGCTGTTAGTTGACCCACTGTGTCTTATTTAGTTTCCTCCATAATTATCCAATGACAATTTAGTGGAATAGAAAAACTAAAAGGGAAAACTTTACCTCAGAAGCCAGGAGTATTTGTTTCCCTTGATGACCATGGCAAGGCATGGAAAGACATGAAGCATTGGAACAGATAATAAGTTGTGGGTAAACTCTGGGAGCTTCCCGTTTTTTCATTGCTCAAAGAATGGCAATATCATTCTGTCAGTCGTTCTGTACATCAATTTGATCCAGAGTGAAATATGTCAACAACTGCTAGATAGATTGACAATGTTGTACAGACAATAACGGTCCCAGTAGTACAAATCCTTCTGACTTGAGCGATTCACTGACTTTTGTTTTCGCACCACCGCCAGGTTCGTCGATGGAGATATTGATTAGTATAGAGGATCATTTTGAATACATTTGGGGATCAGGTTACATTTTTCGTTGAAGGTAAAATGGTAATGACAACAATTGCATAACATATATGTTCACACATTCTTGTTCCCCTCAGGATGAATTGTGATAACTTAAGTGATTCTCTGACATTTAGTGAAGTCCAATACTTTGATTAATGACCAAAGATATAAATATGGGCCCTGGAATTAGTCTCATCTTTAATTGTTTATGTTAATTAGCAAAGGTTATTAAAGTTGTTTTAATCATCAGCATGTTAACATTGTCATTGTAAGCATGTTAGCCTGCTGATGTTAGCATTTAGCTAAAAGGACCTCTCAAAGCAAGGGCCTTTTACTATAAGAAATCTCACATTAATTGATAATGTGTAATCTCTTTCTCCTTTACTTCACTCTGCAGCCGTCCAGGTGCACATCCTGAAGGCAGACAAAGCCGGCGAGTGGTGGAAGTTCACCGTCAACATCATCTCCGTCTACAAGCAGGGTGAGAGTCGTATCCGCCGCGGGGACCAGTTCCTGTGGGTCCGCGCCAAAGACGTGGCCTGCAAGTGTCCCAAGATCAAGCCTGGGAAGAAGTACCTGCTGCTGGGGAACGACGAGGATTCCCCCGGCCAGAGCGGTGTAGTGGCCGACAAAGGCAGCCTGGTTATCCAGTGGAGGGACACGTGGGCGCGCAGGCTCAGGAAGTTCCAGCAGCGTGAGAAGAAAGGCAAGTGCAAGAAGCCATAGGTGGAAAAAAGACGGAGAGCATACCGGAGAGGGAGAGGAATTCAAGAAAAAGCTGATATAAAAAAATGTAAAGAGTAAAAAGAGAGGCCGATAGAGGACCACGGACAGACAAGAGACTGTTTATGTCGCTGCTTTTTTGTGTAGAAGCATGAAGAGAATTATTTAGGATGATTTGTTTTTCTAGTGAACTTTGGTTGAAGGAGCTCACCTTGCAGATTTGGTTTTATCGTGTATTTTACTTTGAGATTTGTCTCTCTTGTGGATTTGCCGAATTTGCACCTATTACCAGCATATACAGTTATGTGTCCATTTTCTTTATCTCAGTATGAAATCATTATATTTTATGTTGTTGTTTATGGATTTCTGCTGGTGCAAAAATGACACAGAAAAAGCCACTTAATTACCACTGCAATGTTGCCTCTGCATGGTTTTCTTGTTGTATTCTTAGCTAAGAAGCGAGCTCGTTTCATCAAAAGTCTTCACTGATCTGTTTGAGGCAATAGTGTTTCCTCCATGTGCCATAATTAATATTGTTTGCAAGCCACAGAAATGCATATTACATTTAGCGGTCAATGAGTCGCCATTCCTTTTCCTCTGTTCAAATTCAGGTAAATCTGCTCCTCAAGAGTCAAGAAATCTATACAGATGTGTAGCTGTCAGGACTTTTGCAAATATGCAAGTGACGAAAGAGAATCAAGGATAAAACACAATATTCAGTAAAGCGTACTTTACTCCCCTTCACTGGTTATGTTTTGATGGTTCAGTATTTGAAAATCCTGCTTGTGAAAGCATCTCTTTTGAGACTGTAACTGGTGCTGCTTATGGTACTATTTAAAATGATGCTTTTTTTGGAAGACAGACTGCATTTGAAACAACTTTTTTTTACTTTCAGTACTTACAGTAACTGTGATTTTTCTTTTCACAACTCCACCTGGAGTTTAACAACTGACTTAAAAAAGGACCAGAGGCCAGTCTCTAATTGATATAAATTCCCCATAATTTTTTTTTCAAAAAATCAGGACTAATTGTTTAGTTAGTTAGTAGTTAATTTAAATCATAATATTAAATATTGGTTCCCAAGAGGCTAGATAATGAAATGTCAGATGTGTTTTTTAATTCAAAACATCTACATTTTAATGAGAATATTAACTCCTACCACAGATTGATTAGATCTGTTAAAGTTAATTGAGTTGGGTCATTGAGTGTATGCAACATTGTAGTTGTGCCGATGAAAGTACTGCATGTTCTCAGAGCAGACTGACAGACATGAAAAGGGTCTGTAGTAACAATTTAAATATATAACTTTCAACTTACATCAGCTCCTTCAAAATACGTTGTACAATGTGTCATAATGTATTTGTAAATGTCACTTAGGGCCTGAAATGTGGATGTCTAAAGATCACAAAATCTAGTGTGTTTCTTACCGTGGAACCAGACGCTTACGTCAAATATTTAATTCAACTCTGATAATGCAGTATGTTAACAGAGAAAAGACATTATGAAGAGAAAAGAATGTCCTTACCTTATGTGAAGAAAACAATCCTAGCGCAGAAAATTAAGGACATTAGCGAAAAACAGCACCTTGAAAAAAGTGCTCAACAATTTCTTAGATGTATTTTTAAATATCCACCTCACAGTTGCTTACATTCATCTAGGATTCTTCTTAAAGTGCTTTGAGATTGCAGATAAGTCCACACAGTCTTTGCAAACACAATGCACGACTGTACATTCACTGTGCGGCCAGTCAGAAGCCACGGTGTCGCATTGACCTGTCACGTTAATTCTCTCCACTTCAGCACTTGCACAGGGAGGAATGGGGTGAATTGCAATCACTTGACGCTGCTTGATTCAAACCACATTGCTCATTTATTTGTATGCAGTTGGGTTTGGATTTCTCTAAGGAATGCGTGGTAAAAACATAGCTCAGATTTGTAAAATCCCACAGCGTATTTGATGTATCATAAACTGGAGTTCCGTTCAGTCCATCCCAAAACACTCTGAGCTACATGTTTCATGTTGCTGGTATTTGTTGTTTCACAAATCACATTCAACACCTTTTAATGTGTTCCACAGCACTAAGTAACTGTAAAACAGGGTTTAGGATATTTGCAAGACACGTGGTTTTAATCTAATGGACTCTCTACTTCCTCTGTTCAAAAGGTAATAAGTTCTGATTCCACTATCTAAGAAAAGTACTAATTTGTTCAGGAATTTTCATAATCGACAAAAACACAGGCTTTTCCATCCATAATCAAAATCACCTGGGTTCAACTGCAAGATAAAAGGAACAGATGCCCTTGTTGCTAAAGTGCTTTTTTCCGTATTTACATTTAGGGTTTGATGGAGTGTGTTTTTCTTAAATGTGCAATCAATGAAATGATTGTGATGTGCGTCAATCGTTACGCTCTAATGATATCAACACATACAGTATATTTACATGTTCCTGCCTTTCATTCTTAGTCCTACAACATAACACCACATATCAATGTTTTTCTGTCTGGCACAATGTAATCTGTAGTCCCACTTCTCTAGTCTCTGTAGCCTCATGCTGTACATTTTACATCCGTCTCCTGAGCGTTGGTTTGACAAGCTTCCTGTTGAAATGCTACACACGTACCTGTCAAAGCATTGCTTTGTGTTCATACTATGAATTGTAAATGTTGTTTAGTTGTCACCATTGCCAAGACTATTTTTTTGCAATGTTGTTTTTACAATGCGTACTAATATATTATGGTTATTATTATATATGAATATATTTAATGACACAAGACATTGTGGATTTTATTGTCTTTTTCATTTTTTTTTTACTTGTTTGTGGTTGTTTAGATCGTTGACATTAAAGAAGGAAATAATAACTACTGAACACACCAACCTGGTAGAACTAAATTCAGATTTTCAGTTGAAATAAACTCTTGTTACATTGAAACAAACATGTGCCTCTGTTTGAATAATGCTTTTTAAATGTATTTGTTTAAGTAAGTATAAATGCAGCTTTTCTCCATTTACTGGTTGCCAATTCATAAAATTGCAAGTACAATATTATGTAGATTTTGCAATGGAAATATGGAATTGGTACCAGTCTGTCCGGCTAAATATCATGTTGGAAAAGTCTTCTGTCCTCCAGAGTAAACCCTTAGCAATATATTGCAGACAGACAGGAGTCCAGGGACTATTAACTGGAAATGTCCTTTATTAGAAATTACAAGCTGAATTGATTTACAAGGAAGGAAAAAAGCCATGTTAGCTACACAGCCGAGCGGTTTGTTTTGGCTGAGAGCTATTCTAGAAACGTTATGAAATCCAAAGACAAATGATAATATTAAAGTGGCTGCAGTAGTACATGGTTGAATACAAGTTAGTGTAAATGTTGCAGAAGCTTGCAGAATAACTGTACCCAGTGTGAGTCTCAGACCACAGACAGACTTGTGAAAGAAAAGCTCCCACCTTCACCACCAATAGACTGACAAACCTCTTAATAATTTAACAATTTAATACATTGAGAATTTAATAAGCAAGACACTTGAACAACTTTTAAAAAAGAACAATTAACACCTAAGCAGAAAAGAAGACATTCGGTTCAGTATTACTAATGCCTCTCACCTAATAAGTTTTTGTATAGAAAAATGCACACTGAGAAAAGATTTGATGAGACCTTGATTAAATGACTGTACAGGTGCACTGTCGATGCAAAAAAAAAAAATGGTATTCTGCATCTAACTGTGTTCAAAGTAGTAGTTCAGCACAGGTCGGTGATCACTGCGTCCTCCTCAGCTACACAGGCCACACGGCGACCACTACGATGGCTATAAGAAGCAGGACGATCACCACCAGCATCCCTGAGAGGAGAAACAAGAAGAGAAAATCTGATTGTAAAGCCCAAACCATGTGTCAACCTTTTTTTTTGTTATCAACAAATTCCATGAAAAGACACAAACAAACAATGAATGGATCCTACTAAAAAACTAATTTTGTGTATCAAATACCTGATACAGGTGTAGTTATTTCCCAACAATTATTAAAAAAAATGCTCATTATTGTCACACTTTTACACTAAAAGATTCAAAACTATTGACATCCCATGGTCCCTGTTTTATTGTTTCTTTTGAGTTCATCCACTAAAAAGTTCTCACTGCAAGAGCATCAAATGTTAATTAATCCACAGCTGACGGTTCCAAACAAATACATGTTTTAATCCTGTTTGAGTGACATTTGTTTAAAACACAGAGCCAAACTATTTTAGTAAGGTAACTACCCCAAAACAAAAAGAAAAAACGTTTGTGACCTGAAAAGATTATTGGTACAAATCTGAAGTGACTTCTAAATGGCCCCTATTTAATCCAAAAATGGAGTGTCTCATATTTACTTTACTACAGTCTGTAAATAGCCTAAAGCCGTTGGAGTTCAACACATTCCCTGTAGTTTTTATGTTGGAAATGTAAATGTCAAGCAGCTGAGGAACTCCAAAGCTGATCTGAGGGATGCATGGAGAAGGAGGGGAATGCAGCAGACTCCGGGGAATACTCTTGGAAGAGGTAAGAAGCCTGCATACCTCACCACTAATTTCCTAAATCCTTGATCTAACACAAGTCCCAAGTGCTTATGCCCTCGCAGCATATCCCCATTCTCCTCCTGATGACTTAATGCAATGTACATGCGTTGGAAAGCTTTATTGCCACAGATTGCACACTGTGATAGGCATGTGTTTCTGATTCTGCCTTGAGAGGATAATCATTGTTTTTCACTGATACCATGGAAGCAGAACACAATGTGCAGAGGCTCACTCACACTTCATCAAAGTGTTTTACCCCCAGGACTTGAAAATATTACACTTTTTATTACAGTCACCACCCTAGGAAAAAAAAACCTTTCTGTTTTTAAATCCACTACAGGTGGAATTTCCATTCTTCTCAATAAAGACCAATGCCGTTTTGGAACTTAACAATTACATTGTATTGAATGTTACCAACTTGGAAGTGAAGGAATAGTCCAACTGATATATCGCCAGGCAGATTTATTTCTCCGATATTAGTTTACAATGATATATAAGCATCTCAGAAGCCAATAAGTAACAAGTTATTGAATACAGAAAACCAGAGTATCTAAAATTAGTTGGCACGGAAAATTATTTTTAAGTTTAGGTTTAGACTTATTCTATATCTCATAACACTCACCAAATGTATTGGACTCCTTTCATGAATGTGTTTCTTTAAGGATATTAATATCAGTAACATATTGTAACCAGAAAAACTTTCAAATATAAACATCTGTATAAAGCTAAAGGAACAGGTCGGGCTATAACTAAATCCAAAACAGAAGTGGCTATGGAAACCCAACACTGGAAAATATTTGGTCCATCTGTCATGGTAATAACACTATTAGGAATTTAAAGAGTGGTTGGTGAAATATATTAAAATCTGACAATCAGGTCAGTTTTTTTAATATATTATAAATGTATTCACACAGTCTTTGGGCGACGTATATAAAGAGAAGTGATGTTGGGTGGCCTATATCATGCACATCAAACACTTGATTTGGTGGTCTGTCCCCAGGTATAGTATATATACTCTGAGACCTATACCACATACACAAAAGATATGGAGAACTCTCCAAGGGCGCTCTCAACCACTATTTCCGCGCTAGAGTGGCACAGGAGTGAAGATTTCAAACAACCGCACCCTTGGCCGGTCTGACAGTCCCCTCACTGACTCAAGATGTCCATTGTTATTTAGCATGCGGCTGGTATTTTCCCCAGCCTTTCACTTTGGGTTTACATTTCTCTCATTCTTTGGCTCTCTCCTCCCGCGTTCCCCTGCACGGCCTAATTGGTCGTCTTTCCCACAGGGAGAGAGACAGGCGGAGATATAAGCCATGCTGAACTAATTGCTTGCGGTGGTCGTGGTGGTGTGGTGTTCTGATGAAATGTAAGGCTGATGCTAGTTTCTCTGCCAGGATAACGGGGTATGGCTGTTAGGGGACCAGATGTCTTTGACTCATTTTGCCATTTTTTTCCCTTTTAGATATTTATTGCAGATAGTCTCTTTCTCTGCATATAGGTCATTACTTAAGCCGAATGTTTTTATTCCATTTGAGGTGAAGGTGTTCTTATAAATGTCCACAGGACGAACATGTTGGAAGTCATCACTGGTCTAGACAGGACCTCTCCTCCTGATAACTTACACATGTGAGCATAAAATAAATGTCCAAGTAGAAACACACGCTCAAATAGTTGGTGTGATGGCTTTTTAAAAGCCTCATGCTTAAAGCAAATACACACACACAAATGTCCAGCAATTATCTTTGTTTGGGTGTAAACGATACCGACGCAACACCCAATCCACATTAGATTCAGACACGAGAATTTCATTCAGCCGAGTCCAACATCTGTCAGAAACTCCATTTGACGACACCATGGCAACAACAGCAATAAAGGCTGAGCTGCATAACATGCAGTGTTGGAGGAAGTGTAGTGACCTCAGTGTATACAGTATATACTTTGTTACAAGAAAAGGACCAACATTTAAAACTTTCTTAAAGGGGACCTATCATGCAAAATGCGCTTTTCGATGTATTTTATACATAAATATGTGTCCCCGGTGTGTCAGGGAACTCACAAAGTGTCAGAAAACAAAAACCTCTCTCTTTTCCTCCGCACCCACATCTCTAAAAACGGGGGTAGAACGGAGCTGATCCAGATTTGCATCCGATATGACGTAATATCAGAAATGCGGGGCTGTCTGAAATGCATGATCTGTCTGGTATTTTGAGCAAAACACATCATAGACATGTTTTTTATATATTTGTATATATCTGAGACCCATAATATATACCTAAAAATACCATAGGAGACCTTTAAGTAAAATTACAAAAGTTATGGCATCAAAATATAATAAAATGAAAGTTATAGCATTCGTAATGCAAAAACATATATTTTCTAATTTAAAAAAAAGAGAGATAAAGTGAAAGGGAATTATTCAGGTACAAAAAGGAACATTTAAAATCATACTTTAGTACAATACTTCAGAAATGATGCTTTATTACTTCCAACATCTGAACATAAACATAGGTTAGTGGGGAGCAGGGCTCTCACCCAGTATAATGTCATGTACCAGTCAGTCATGCAGCCCCCCCCACCCGCTCCCCATGGACCAACCCTGTCTGCCTCGGTAACTAAACATCTAGTCCTGACCCCCAGGAGGCCTCCAGAGACTAATGACAATAACGGCGTTTGCTTGCCAAATAGATTAGGGCTGTGGTGTGACACTGATGCTGAGGGAGATAGTCGGGGTCTGCTGATAGACTGACCACCCAGGAGCTTTGGGGGCCAGAGTCTGGGTTCATCCCATCTTAGCAATTTTCAGACACATCAGTAAGACAAATCACAGAGAAAAGGAATAATTGGTGGGAGCTCCGGAGAGACCGAGACAACCCCTGAACCTCCCCTCACCACTCCCTCCGTGCCCCCTGCGTATGGTTCAAAGATCTTTTTGGACCACAAAAGGCGCGGATGACCTTTAAAGAAAAGGAAATTATTTTATGTTAACAAGGTCAGTTTGATGCTCATCATTTTTCTCACAGCACAATAGAACATACTTTACAAAAAGGTTTAATGGTTTGTGGCCTAAAGTATTGAATAGCCATAAAAAACTAATATATATATATATATGTATTCCTTAATTATCTATAATACAACAACTGACATAGTGTGAGAATTTTTGTAGGCTCTGCTTTGGATAAATGCTAGCATGCTAACTTGCTGATGTAAAGCAGGTATAACAATCACCATGTTTTGCATCTTAATTTACCGTGAGAGCATGCTAACTAATCAGCAACAAACCCCAAGTAAAGCTGAAATGTCGTTTGGTTTGAAGATTGAGCCCTTAATATTGGACACAATACAAGTTATTTATATCTTATTCCTTAGGGGGAATTTCCGGGGGAAATATGTTTAATCGTTTTTTGAAATATTTCAGTCTTGACCAAAGTGGTGGACCGCCCGCTGCTGTGTCGCTATCATATCTAAATATTGTTCTCTGATGATATTTAAACATTATTGTAATTATATATTCCAGGCATGCAACATTTGTCTCCATGTGAATAAAATCGTTGGTGTTATATTAATTAGTTAAGGTAAGATATTCAGCTGGTAGATGAAACCATATGTGCCACATTAGCACAATAACTAGGATTACATTGTTTCCACAGAAAACTTGGCAAAAAGCAGACCTGAAAAATGTTTCAAATGTTGAAACATTTCTCGAGTCACGTTTAAATTACCTTTCCTCCAACTAAGAAAAATGTCCGATGTGGAAACATCATTAGCAGGATGTATTACTTTAAGCAAACCTTTCATCAACCATGTGAAACATATTCAATTGCCATTTCTAAATTCCAACAGTTGCCATGTCAATTTGACGAGAGGAACAAGAGCTGGGAAAAAAAGATGTAACTGATTAAAGAAGACCATATTGTAAAAGTTAGACTACCCTATTTAGCAAAATAACTGTTTCCTTGAAAACTCTCAAATCCCAACTATACCAACTGAGTGCTTTTACCGCGCTACATGTTTTTCTTCCAACACTTTCAAATGCTGCCCCTCACCCACAGTCCCTTTAGACATCCCCTCTAGTCCAAACAGTACGAACCTACTTGAGATGCGAGCCACCTGATGGATTCACGGGGTTGCAGAAGTAGTCCTCAACAAACTGAGGATTAGCTGTGTGGAGAAGGGCTGCTCAAGCACCGATGCTGCCTGATGGTGATGCCTAAGCTCTGGGGAACTCACACTACTCTGCAAGAGACCCTTTGGTCCCGTAGACTAATCTGCCGCACTAATCCAACCCAACTCAAAGCCTCCACTCCTCAATTCCCACCAACATCAACTAAAACAAGTGGTAATGACTCTGTGAATCAGGCTTAGCTTTTTATAAGTGACAGCATTGGACCAGCAGAACAAAACAATAAATAAAGAGGTATGTAAGGAATATATATGAGGAATATTATCGTGAATTTTATTTTAATTTCCCTTCTTTTAGGTTCAACAAAATAAAAATAAACTCCACAAGTGTTTTCACTTAACCCTAACCATAACCCTAATCTCATAGGCTACAAATAAAACAATTTCAAAAGCATTGTTTTTCTTATAAATACATATTTCTTAAATAATACATATTTTGTTTTGTTTCTCCCCATTGGTCTCTTTTGTCAACCCCTTGGTTACTATTGCAGGGTACAAATAATAATGAGGTATTTCAACTTGGGAATTGCTTAAACAGAAACAAGCCCGTGCAGCAGAAGAATCCAGAATGTTTCAACACAATGGATGTTTCACAACACTTGGGGCACCAGTCATGCACAGTATGCCTCAGGAACCAGGGTCGAGCAATATGTGGGTCCTTCCCTTGGCAGATGACCCGTCCCACAGCTCAACTTTCTCTTCTGCAGCTTTGTGAAATTCTCCAGTGCATGCACTCAAAACTGTTACGCCCCAAACTGAGTGCAATGTCTGATAGTTTGGATTGATAATCCATCAGTGAAGAACATTTTTCAAATTTCTTGAAATGTTTCCATCTTTTTAGCACAACTTTAAATCTAAGATGCCTCTTTTGCAACGACGGAGATTCCAATAGTTATGTTAAGTATGCTCTGGCCTGTCAAAGCCAGACGTTTCTAGCTTCACAAGGACTCGGCTGAGACATAACACCAAACGCGGCTTTGGGTGGTTTCAAAAATAAATAAAGCCTTAAAGCTAAGGAATTATAAACACGCTGCTATGGAGAAAGAGGGAAAGCCCTCCAAACTATTTGTGGCATGTAGTATTTTCAATTCTTTCTCTGCTTGACACAAAGACGAGTGTCAAACAACTGAGGAGACGAACAAGGGGATGACAGAGAGGAATGGAAAAAAGAGAGAGCATTGAAGTGAGAGTGAGGAAGACTCTGGGGGAAATTTTCCATTCACAGAGAAGGTTTGAGACAACCAACACACACACACACACTCCCAAACATAAACGCATGCACAAGAACATCCTGCAAATTCATATTAGTTGACACTGTCGGTGCATACCAAGTAAGCACAATGCACATGCATGCAATGCATATAATCATGCAGATGAACACAGGCGCATATACACACACATGTACACACACGCCATGAATATTCTTCAGCCTGGAACTGAGGACAGGGAGGGGGGAGTTAGGGTACTAAAACAACAAGTTAAACAAAAAGGAAGACAGAAAGAAAGAGTCCTGATTCTAACACAATACAAGCTCTGGGATCTACAAACAAACTCACGCTCGGGCACCATGGGGACACGACCAACAGAACGAGGCATTGGGGGGGCTGACCTTCCTGCTGCCTGCTCTGCTTCTGTCTGTGACCGCCAGGTCTCCTAGCACAACAATGCAGCCTTTTCCATAGCGATGCTGTCTGGCGTTTCCCTGGGCAAACTGAGCCAGGGTGAAGCTCTCACATTCCACAGATTGGCCTGAGCCAGCTAACACACCTCTCATGGCAGCTGTTTTCTTCTGAAATGTATTACAGACTGAGTCTTCTCAAAAATGGTAAAACAAAAGTTAAACTCACTGAAGCAGATCTGAGAAGAAGAGTCACAAGGCCTCTCAGAGTACAGTCGAGACAACACATTAAAATCTGAAGCAACTAATACCTAATGCCATGCCTTCACTGGAGAAGTAGCTTTAGCGACATGCTAGCAGCTTTACATAGGATGCACTCAGGAATAGTATAGATTTGTAGAAGAGATGTCCCGATCCGATCACGTGATCGGGGATCGGAGCCGATCACGTGATTTTCAAAAGATCGGAAGAAAAAAATCGGGGATCGGATTTTTTATTTTTTTATTCAATGTTACAAAACAAAAATGACCATGTTCAAGTCTTAAAGTCATCCTGAGGCCTTAGTTTTGGTTTCAAATTACACAACATCATATATGTGTTGCTTCTTTGGGGCTTGTTTTCATAGACCTGGTTGCTTATTTCTCTCAAATCTGGCAAAAGAGTGGGCAGGGCGCAGTGTCTAATTGTAGCAGTAAGCTAACGAGTACTGATAAGCTTTATTTTGTTTTGATCCAATGATGCACAACTGAACTGATCCAATGCTGCTGTGAAAAAAAGAAGCTATATCCATGTTGGATAGAATATCAAATTTAAATAAAAAAATAACCTTAAGGGACAACTTGAATGCTTTTTTTTCTCTTAATGCATTGCATAAAGATCGGATCGGGAAAAATCGGTATCGGCAAATTTTCAAAATCAAATTATCGAAATCGGATCGGGAGCAAAAAAAGGTGATCGGGACATCCCTAATTTGTAGGATAGCTCCAATACATAGCCAAAGTGCCTCCTGTGGCTGATTTGCAACACAAAATACTCATTTGGGGATTCCTCAAAAGGTCTAATATGGGAGACCCCCTTTTTAAGGCCAGGACTCTTAGTTAGCAGGCGTGACAGACAGAGCCAGTCCACCCACCATTCACCACCGAGACCCCTGTGCCAAGAGGGCTTGTTCCCAGCAGCATCATATTTCTGCACCATTAAGCACCATTATTTCCAGAAAAAAGAAGGCCAATGAAAGAGTAGTAACAACATGGTTCATATCCTGAATACTAAATAATAATGTTGCATTGCTAGAAATGTGCTGAACCCAACATGATGTCACAATACACATTATTTGTCTCACACAAGCCAGAGTCACTTCCTCTACAAAAACTATATTCTGTTGGATATCTGCTCTGTGGACTGCAGGAATGGAAGAAAAAACAACTGTATAAAAGTGATAATCATTCATATAAATAGGTTGTGATTCGCTTTCAAGGACACAGATCAGATATCAGTCCTCCTTGATACGAGACCAAGATGTACCTCGGTAATGAAAAACAAGGCATGCTCACCGCAGGAGGCTGACTTTGTCTCCACCAGCTTCACCCGTCGTGTCTCGTTACGAATCCTGTCGTCCGTCTTGTCCACAAGATGTGTAAGGTCGTCAATGATTTCTGAGAGGCAAAGATAGAAAAAGGAAAGAGGGAGAGGAAATTATGTCAATACAATTGAATTAATCTTGCTGTTGTTGTGACTTCAGTGTTTTTCTTTTATTTCATTTTAGACCTCCCAATACGTTTAGTGTAGTAAAGGAAATTACTCAAATGATAAAATGACAGGTTAAAGGACCTGACATTAGAGCAGTCAACAACTTCAAAAAGAGGCAGCAACCGCACAGACATGAGTGGTGGTGATGAAGGGAGTGGGCTGTGTGAAAGCACTCCTCCACTCTTTCAAATGGTTTCACTACTTCCTGCATCCACTCTGGATTTAATCAGGTCCTTATTGTTCATGAGTTTTAAAGACGTAAGCCCAGGCTTCAGGGACCGTGCCTGGGCGTCTAACGAAAGAGAGTGTGTGTTTTGTGTGTGTGTGTATGTGTGTATATGTGTGTGTATTTAGCTGTGTGGATACGGGTCCTTCAGTAGGAGTTCCTGACTTGAAGGTCGTCCAGATGGAAGCCTGTGTGATTTGTTAGAGGCAGCCACAGTGTTGACATGGCCTCTCCAGAGGGTCTGGCTCAAAAACAAAAACAGATAACTGCTGAAAGATTTCCAAATTCTTGATTTGTAAAGGTTAGACATCAAAATGTGATATTTGTCAGAGTTAATATTTACTTGGAGTTGTGGTTTTCAGTCAGAACTCAGTTACAAATGGCACATGGGAGGCATAACTCATAAATTGTCTCAAACATATATAAACTAATTCAAATATTATCTGTGAGGTATATCTGTATATCTATCTCTTTCTGTTTTTGAAATCAACCTGTCTTTCAACATTCATACTGCCATAACAACACAACCTTATGAATCATAAATTATCTTTGTTTAGGAGTTTTATTACGTTTCAGATTTAGATTTGTGAGCCGTTTGTATTTCTAATCCAACAGTGACTACTCCAGAAGCCTTCTGAATTGTAAAGATAAAAAAAGAAGTGGCTGAACAACAAAGAAATCGGTTGAACAGAAAACAAGGTCAAGTCGAAGAAAAGGAAGTTCCTCACAAACTTTTATCATCCTCTGATAAATGGACACTTTACAGACATGGGAAGCTAGACTCATCCACAAACCTCAGTTCAGTGCCAAGTGAAACGCACTGCTCCTTCAGGGAGATAATGACCTTTTATTGCTGCTTTTACGGTAGAATAGTACACAGTCAGTATTATCAAAGCTTACAAATTCCCACAGGTTAGTGCTAAGGGTCATCAGATAATTTGTCTTTGTGAGCACACATCTTAAGCTCTAGCTGCCTCTAAATTGTATCGACAAGAGAACACGTTTCCTCAACTACAAACCATCACAGCTCGACAAGACAGTCGGAGATGTGGCTGACATCAGATGATTAAGTTGCACCAATAATTCGAGGAAGGAAAGCATGTCAGTTTGGAGGGACAGAGTGTACAAGGGCAAGGACGAGGAGATGTAGACGTGAGAGCGCAGTATGTACAGTTTCCCTGGAGACCCCCACATCATCATCCACGCATCAGGCAACAATTTAGAAGGAAGAAACTCTTCCTTTCCTGGCAGGGTGAGGGGTGTAGACGCTGAACCATTTGTGCCGCGTGCCACTCCAACTATTCATAAAGGATGTTTTTGGTTTGCACTGCCAAGATTCTTGATCCATTTCTGCTCTTGCAATAACATCTCAATCTATTGATGAATTCTCATCTGTGCTGAGACATAGAAGTGGATGTGACCTTTGACTATAGCTGCAATAAAACACTTCAGAGTGGGAGCCCTACGAGGTATTGGCTATTCTTTTGCGTAGTCATTCAATTCACCCTTTTATCAAGTCATGTTTTTAACAACATAATTCTCAATTTCCTTTTCTGACTTCTGCTTCCATGTATGACAGCTGCTGGCCCTGGTTTGGATCTGCCAGACCACAAAGAAAGCCCTGTTTCAGGCAAGGGTTACTTGTTTAAAATGTTATTACTCTGGATAAACCTCCAAAGCCACAGCGTTGGAGAGCATGGCACGTCCACAAACATGCTGTTAACAGCATTCCAACTATCTGTTCTTCTACGCATGAAATTCTTTATTCTTATTATTCCGCCCGTTATTTTGCGGGCCTTCTCCTCCCGCATTTTTAACCATTGAAGTCAATGGAGAAATTCTTCAGATTTCAACAAATCTTCATGCGACTTCAACTGCTAACTGTTCCTTCATACTTTCACTCAGAAACTTCATTCCAACTTTAAAATGTTACACATCTTTCTGACATTATTCGTGTAACACAACTTTTAAAACTGATTCTTACTTTTAGAGATATTAAACATTGTTCAGACCTTGGTACAGAGGCTTTCTTCAGATTTTAACATTAACTAGAGTGCGTGATGTCACAGCTAGAGTGTAGGAAATCTACATTCTACAAACCCTACATTCCTGAGACATAATCTTTCATGACAAACGTAGGAAAACATCTCGTAGCTTGAAAAATGACAAATAATTAAGCAAAATAATTAAACAAAATGCCTCTTGAGGGCATGAAGTGACAAAAACTTTCAACATGTCTCCATTAAGGCTTTAATGGAGACATGTTGAAAGTTTTTGTCACTTCATGCCCTCAAGAGGCATTTTGTTTAATTATTTTGCTTAATTATTTGTCATTTTTCAAGCTACGAGANGCAAGGCATTTTTCTGAGGTGGCAGCTGCCACCCCGTGCCACCCCGTAGAACCGCCACTGTACAGAAGCAGGGGCTGCAATATAAGGTGGAAGGAAATTGTTTTTGGCTCACAATCTGATTCATTATTGATAACCATGCTTAAAAAACAAGCAGGTCCTTCCATATAAATATTGAAGCGTAATGATAAACCATCTGCTATCCTGGAATGTGTTGCTAAATCTGTAAAGGACAGAACAAAAGATGTATTTTCTCAGCTGCCTTCGGTCTTTCGTTGCCAGTAGACACGTTTATCTTTTTTTCACATCTGTGATTTTCAGTGTTCTACAGTATTGCAATACTACATGGTACAAGAGTTTGTCCACCACTTCAAAGTCAAATCTGCTCAAAGATTTTTGGTCAACCTTTTGAGAAACTGTATAAATGATCCTAACATGACAATGCATTAGCATTATCTCTGAACCCAACCATGCCCTGAACAGTGAATATGAATTGTTCGATTCGGGGATTCAGGTACCCGCAATTCCGTACATTTATACTGTAGAAGTATTAAGTGCAGCAGTCTATTCTCAAATTAAATCCCAGTTTAAATGTATGTTAAAGGGTCTTGAAAAAATTCTCCTCAGGGATTGTAATGTTATACAAATAGAGCTGCAGTGATTCAAAACAAAAATTTGGACTTGATCTGACAATAAAGTATTACCGTGCTGTATCATATTGTATCGTACCTGCTCAGGGAGACTAACATTTGCACACACTCACACACATTTGGCCATCTGGATAAAATGTGGGGTTCAGTATCTTTGCCAAGCAAGTAATCCTGGTATTGGTGAATTCACAGGTGCAATCACACTTCTATGTTTAGCAGTTTTAAAAGACAGTATGTCATTTGAATAAGTCAGATATAAGTTGATTCAACATCTCTGTTATATGTCATTTTTGCAGTTTATTACATGGGTTTTGTTCTGTCATTATGCCGCTTCATAACGCTACAGAGGTTCTGCATTCTCAATCAACCATCACTTAGATTTTTAACTTCTGAAATCTGAAAGATAAATACATTTATAAAGGATGTAAAACTAGATTTCATAAAAGCGCACTCTTTAACTGTTATTGCTTTAGAACTGTTATTTGAAAGTAATAAGTTATAGTTGTTAGTGTTTGAGTGAAAATGTGGAAGTGTATGTTTATAATGCCACTCATTCTAGTATTGTACGTGCACAGTGTGTGTATCAGTGAAAGGTCATGCGCCTGTGTGCACGTGGGTATTTATGAACATCTACCCCCTCCTCCCCCAGGCTGATCAGCTGCAAAACAAACACTTAACTATTTGCACCAGTTACTTTTATTATTTTTGTTACTTTATTGCCTCGTGGAAAAATGCCATTGACAATACATTTCAGATAAACAGAAGATGAGTCAAGGTATTTAGGCACAGGCAGAAGGTTATATGATTCCACATTTCATGTCATCTATAAAGACACATTAACGGATGTAGACATGTGAGCGTGAGGTGAGTGGGATGATATGACATCAAAGAAAGTGATGAGACTTTAGTTAACTCCATTCTAATATCTTGTTAATCCCCCCCCCTTCCGTTCAGTTGGATTCAGGTTGCACTATTAATTCCATGTTCACTACCATGGCAACCAGCAGTTTATAAGATCAACTTATTTTTTCCATAGATCCCCACCTTGTCGTGATAAAAAAAAAAATCACATAAATCTCTTGTCTATATAAATAAACTAAAATATGTGTTATTTCTTCAGATTTGTAATTTCCAAACTGCCCACTGTTTCAGTCACCTCGGGTGTCCCACAGGGATCTGCACTGGGTCCTCTGCTTTGTATCATTTACTATCTTCCGTTTAGACAGAACCTCCATCACCATGGAAATGCAACATCATCCATAATCTCTTCAATTTCACTTTTTGTAAAGAGATTTTGAAAATGCAAAGAAACTTATAGCACAACACAAAGGTAACATCAGTACAGTGCTTTTATAAAAGCACTTCCAACAGCTGGTTTCAGCATTTTCCACCATGTTGTGATTGAGCGTCTCGGGTTGTCATCAGCAAACTGTATCAAAATTAAGAGTTCTTATCCTGCAGATAAATGGCGTCCATTTGTAAAACATGTAAGGGAAAAATGACCGCCTCTATACATATCATCCCGCTTATCACACAGCCACATACTAAATAAACCAACAACTTCCCTAATTTTATTGAATTCAAAATGATTGTATTGCTAGTGTTAAGAAAACATTTGTCGGTGATCACTTCAATGTGCCTCACGGACCAGGTTTGCGGTGGGTCTCTCATGAATAAGAGCAGGGTAAGGGGTAGGTATAAGGTTCCTCATACAGGGGCC